TCTCGGGTAAACACACCCTGTTTGTTATCTATACGTCAATGGGATTTGTCTTTTTCTTTTCGCTTTGGATTGTTTGTGCTGTTTTTTAGAGAAAGGAATTCAATTCAGGCACTATTGCTAGCTAGCTTTTCTGGGTTTGCACCATTTTCTTCTGCTTTTTTGTTTTTCCTTTTGATGGTGAAGTTGCTTTAGTACGTATTCTGAAGTTTATCCTCAAATTTTGAAGTAATAAGTTTCCCTTTTCAGTATATTTGTTGTGAGTTCATATTGGATCAAGAAGTTAGGCTCCGTACAGGCTATACAATGCAAGGTTTATGCTACAAGGAAATTTATAGTTAATAGCATAAATTAACTGCTGTCAAAAGGTTGGCAGCCTTCAAGAGAAGTAGAGGTGGTTTATTTTTTCTTATGTTTATCCGTATTGGAATGTATTCCTCCAAGAGTCTGTTAGTGAAGGGGTTATTATGATTTAATTTGGTGTTGATGATATATATATATATATATATATATATTTTTTTTTTCTCATATTTATTTATATATTATGGCAGGAAAATGAAAGTAGGCACACAGGCAAGCATGGGTTTGGAGAGAAGGGATGGTTCGGTTCCAGCTGACACACAAGCCAATGGTCCCCCTGGAGAGCATAAATTGGAATTGTTTGGTTTTGATTCTCTTGTTAACATTCTAGGTCTCAAAAGGTGTGTGGTTCTATACCCTTTTTATTTGCTTAGTTGGTAGTTTAAAGTTAGCATTACTCTTTAAATTTTTGGAGGATTACCAGGTGTTCATGCGCTTTAAAAATGGTTTATTTGCAGTGGCTTCAAGTATCACATTATATCTGTTCTGCTGTTTATATGCTTCTTTTTTATGCCTTTTTAGTTTCCTTAAGTAAGCAGCCTGTAGTGTCATTATTGACTTAAGTTCAGTTTTTAATTTTTGATTACCATCTGCTTGTGACCTTTTTTCCAGTATGACGGGGGAGCATGTTCCAACACCTTCTAGCCCTAGGGATGGTGAAGATGTCTCCATCACAGATGGACGTCCAAAGGTACATACCATTTCAACTATCATGAATTGTTTAATCTAATATCACCATTTTCATTGTTTTCATCATTATCATCACCATCAACAATGTTGGTTGGGGCTGGAAAAGGGGAATAAAAGTGTAAGTAAGGGTAGGTGAGTAAAAGAAAAAAATATTGAAGAGTAAGGGTGACATAACATATGGCTGCGTCTCTTTAGATTTGAAATTTTCTTAATACAAGTTTAATTTCAAATAAGATAAACTGAGATTTGGCTGATGGCATCTTGATTTTAATCTGCCATGGTCTTTGTTTGTTATTTCAAACAAGTTGGAACTGGAACTGTACTTTGCAGCCTTTATGATGCTGTTCTGTCTTTCAACGTGCATATTGTGTGCAGCCCTCTGATGTCAAACTGGGTACAATGATGGGTGTATTTGTTCCGTGTTTGCAAAACATATTGGGAATTATCTACTATATCCGATTTTCTTGGTAAGCCTGATCTTGTGTATTTTCCATCTTTTCAACTGAGGATGTTGCGTTTTTTTTTTTTTTAGCAGAAACCAATGGTGTTGTTTATGAAATTAATTATCAACAGAAATGTTTTTATCTGTCTGCTGTTTCTTTTACAATCATAGATGCTTGCCTTATTTAGGGGGCTTATGAGAAATCTTCTATTCTGACCTCGTCTGCTTCTCCTATTCCAACCTCTCCTCTCCCTTCCTCTTATTCTTAATGTTGGAAAGTTTATGTTCTATTTTTTTACATTTGGTATTTAGCTTTTAGTTTTTTCCTAATCAGAATTATTAATTCTATTCTTTTTTTAACCTTAGACCGTCATATATTTTGCAATTTTTTCCTGAGTTTTATAGGATTGTTGGCATGGCTGGCATTGGCGAATCACTACTACTGGTTGCATTTTGTGGATTGTGTACTTTCTTGACTTCAATATCTTTGAGTGCAATTGCAACTAATGGAGCCATGAAGGTACCCATTAATATGATTATATCTAACATATTGGGTTTGTTTGAAAATTTTTATGTGATTTTGGTAATGCTTTATATGCATCATGTGCAACCCAAGATTGATAAGTTGTTTGAATTCTGCAGTTTTTACTTTGATTTTGGATTTCTTAGATTTTTACTAAATAGTTCAATGCTGGAAAAATTTTAGTGATTTTCTCTAGTTATATTTCCTTCCAGGGTGGGGGTCCATATTATCTCATAGGGCGTGCCCTTGGTCCCGAGGTGGGAGTTAGCATTGGATTATGTTTCTTCCTCGGCAATGCTGTTGCTGGAGCACTGTGAGTGTTTCCTCTGGATCTTTTCTTGGTAGCTATATTAGATGTGTGGTTCAAGGCCACAATATAATGGAAATGAGGCCGAAACTTAACGTATGGTGGATCTCTTGGACCTTTTTTCCATAGCTCTCTTAGATGTATTGTTCATGGCCATGATATCATGGAATTGAGTCTCAATATTAGTGTATAATTATGCTTATAGTAAAGACCATTATTTTCTATGATGAACTTGTGTTAACCTTGGTACATTCCATGTGCTTTTCGTTGTGGATGTAGTTATGTCTTGGGAGCTGTAGAGACCTTTTTAAAAGCTATGCCTGCTGCTGGGATCTTTACTGGTATTGATTATTTGTCATTTTGTTATAGTTTTTAGATTTATATTTTTGGACAGGAGGTTTATTTATTCTTTAAACCTTTTTGTTTCTCTATGTTTTCATCTGGTTGTACCATATATAACTAAGCTGTTTAAAGTTGTTACTTTGTTGTTGTTGGAAACAAATCCTGTACTAGTTCATTTCATTTATAATCTTCAATTTTCCTGCTTTTATGCAGAGACTACGACAAAGGTTAATGGCACAATATCAGAACCGGTACAGAGTATAAGTTCACATGACCTTCAAATTTATGGGATTGTTGTGACTATCATCCTATGCATTATTGTTTTTGGTGGTGTGCAAATGATAAATCGTGTTGCACCTGCTTTCCTCATCCCTGTATTGTTCTCAGTATTGTGCATAATTATTGGGATCTTTGTGGCAAGGAATGATCATCCTGTAGGTGAGTGCTTCTTTACATTCATTTTCCTTTGGATATGGCCTAATTTCTTCTTCTACTCCACCCTCTCTTCATCATCATTTTTTTTCCTTTATTTTATTACTTTTAGGTGCATCTTTATTTCTCAAGCAAGTGATAGGATTAGTTGCATAGGCACCATAAGTGACTTCACTGATATATGGGCGTTTTTTTATGATGCCCTAAGCTCTAAGCAACCATATATGGAATATATTTGTTTGATCCTTCAGTGATAAATGAAATTCACTTTCTTGCAATCATTAATACAGTTGGAGTTACGGGCCTGAGTTTGGAAAGCTTTAAGCACAACTGGGCTTCACAGTATCAGAAAACTAATGAAGCTGGAATCCCTGATGCTGATGGAAAAGTGAACTGGACTTTCCAGTAAGAATAAGAATCTTAATATTTCTGGCAAATGTAACTTCATATAACCATTGATGCTGTTCTAAGATAGGACCTTTATTCAAAAGTATGTCTCTAGAACTCAGAAGATCACCTCACATGAATTTTAGGATGATTAATAGAAAAGACCTTACATCTAAGCCATTTCCTCTGCTGTTGCAATATTGTTCTTGAGTAGATAAAATTTGATGCAAAATCTCCGTGGAATGGATTAAGCCTCTTTCTTGGTTTCTGTTACTAACATATTTTCTTTGTATGCCTCTTTAACTTGTTTATATTTTCTTTATGCTTCTTCCAGTGCATTGGTTGGTCTCTTTTTTCCTGCTGTGACAGGAATTATGGCAGGTTCAAATCGATCAGCCTCACTGAAGGACACTCAACGCTCAATACCAATTGGAACATTGGCTGCAACTCTTTCAACGACTGGACTGTATCTAATCTCTGTCTTACTTTTTGGAGCTGTTGCAACTAGAGAAAAGCTTTTGACAGACAGGTATTTATTCTTTCTGGTCAGAATGGTTCTCCATCAGTTCTCTAGACAGCGTGTTCCCTTGCTGTGCCTTTCAAATTCTTCAAACTCTTTCTGCTTTAGCACTAAAAGCCTAACTGTGGTGCAGGCTGCTTACAGCTACAGTTGCTTGGCCCTTCCCAGTGATTGTTCAAATTGGAATTATTCTTTCAACCTTAGGTGCAGCCCTTCAGAGCTTGACAGGTGCCCCTCGTCTTCTTGCAGCAATAGCTAATGATGATATCCTCCCCATCCTCAATTATTTTAAGGTTGCAGACGGGAATGAGCCTTACATTGCTACCCTCTTTACTTCGATCATCTGTGCTGGGTGTGTCATTATTGGAAATCTGGATCTTATCACACCAACTATAACTATGTTTTTCCTTCTGTGTTATGCTGGTGTAAATTTGTCATGCTTCCTTCTGGATCTCCTAGATGCTCCCAGTTGGCGTCCTAGGTGGAAATTTCACCACTGGAGCATCTCTCTGCTTGGGGCCATTATTAATATTGGTATGGTTCTTCTTGTGGCACCTTTGTGGGTTTGACTTTGATGTGACATGTGCCTTATCTTTTGTTTTTAATTTAACTTTAAAATGAATATATCTGCAAGATGGGAATTGCCATTAACTTCCCATAGTTTAGCTTCTCATTCAGTTTAAATTTTCTTATCAATCCGTGTGAAGGAACATGTACTGAATTATGAAAATAGGGTATGCCATTGGGTAAGGGGAAGGAGCATTTCAATTCTCTCTATTGCATCTCTGTACTGTAGGGAGCCATTTAGAAATCCAATGTCCATCCTTGAAGAGCCTTTAGAATGAGCAGAACTTTCTTATTCAGTTAAGTGGGCTGGCTTCAGATTGGTGAATTTAGTTCAAATTTTGCCAGCCACCTTGCATTTTTATACTTGATTGTGTGTGCAATCATTTTGCAACTAAAATTTTCCCATGACATTCTAACTTAGATGCCTGCTTTTGTTTGCTTTTCTTTTACTGCAGTTATCATGTTCTTGATCTCTTGGTCATTTACCATTGTGTCTCTGGCCCTTGCAACTCTCATATATTACTACGTGAGCCTTAAAGGAAAGGCTGGGGACTGGGGTGACGGTTTCAAAAGTGCATATTTTCAACTAGCCCTCCGCAGTCTTAGATCATTGGGAGGTATGTTTTAATTTGCATGTATGTACTTCTATTTTTATCAAGTGTGTGTTTGCATGTTCAGTTCTGGTAGTTTTCCTTTTTGGCCATCATTCTGTTCTAGTAGTTGACTTGCTAAATGTGCAGCAAACCAAGTACACCCAAAGAACTGGTATCCCATCCCATTGATATTCTGCCGCCCATGGGGAAAGCTGCCAGAAAATGTACCATGCCATCCCAAACTTGCTGACTTTGCCAACTGCATGAAGAAAAAAGGCCGTGGAATGTCCATATTTTTCTCTATACTAGATGGGGATTATTATGAATGTGCTGAAGATGCCAAGGCAGCCTGCAAGCAGCTGGGTACCTATATTGAGTATAAGCAATGTGAAGGTGTTGCAGAGATAGTTGTAGCACCTACTATGACTGAAGGCTTTCGTGGCATTGTACAGACAATGGGCCTTGGCAATCTCAAACCCAATATTGTGGTGATGCGGTATCCTGAAATATGGCGGCGTGAAAACCTAACTGAAATCCCAGCCACATTTGTGTCAATGATCAATGACTGCATTGTTGCAAACAAGGCAGTCGTCATTGTCAAGGGCCTTGATGAATGGCCCAACGAATACCAAAGGCAATACGGTACCATTGACTTGTATTGGATTGTAAGAGATGGTGGTCTGATGCTTCTTCTGTCTCAGCTGCTTCTCACAAAAGAGAGCTTTGAGAGCTGTAAGATTCAGGTCTTTTGCATCGCAGAGGAGGACTCAGATGCAGAGGCACTCAAGGCTGATGTCAAGAAGTTTCTATACGATCTTCGAATGCAAGCAGAAGTGATTGTCATAACAATAAAGTCATGGGATTTGCAAGTAGAGGGCGGAGGTCAACAAGATGAATCACTAGAAGCATTTACTTCTGCTCGGAAGCGGATTGCTAATTACTTGACTGATATAAATACAGCAGCTGAGAAAAACAGGACACCATTGATGGCTGATGGCAAGAATGTGATAGTAAACGAGCAACAGGTGGAGAAGTTTCTTTATACAACCCTGAAGCTTAACTCGACAATATTAAGATACTCTAGAATGGCTGCTGTAGTGCTCGTAAGTCTACCACCACCTCCAGCCAACCATCCGGCATACTGCTACATGGAATATATGGATTTGTTAGTGGAAAATGTATCAAGGATGTTGATTGTAAGAGGATACCGTAGAGATGTTGTAACTCTCTTCACGTAGTTCCAGAAAGATTCCTTCTTCAGACTGTAACTGCCATACTGTCCATACGGGCTCATCTACCCTCTTTCATTTTTGTAGCATGACTAATTACATTCATTCTTTTTGCTGCCATTCCCATCAATGGCATTTGTTGTCTCATTACTAGTTCTTTCTTTACAAAGATTATAAATGATAGTCCCATTTGGGATTAGCCAACATCATTCCTTTGGTTGACTGGGTTACATTCAATCTGGAATCTGATTTCTGAATTGT